GCAACCTCAAAATACTGGCCTCAAGTGATCCTCCTGCCTCAGCCTTCAGAGTAGCTGGGATTACAGGTGTGTGCCACAATGCCAAGTTAATTTTTCTATTTTTAGTAGAGACAGGGTCTCACTCTTGCTCAGGCAGGTCTCCAACTCCTGAGCTCAAGCAATCCTCCCACGGTGGCCTCCCAGAGTGCTAGCATTAGAGGTATGAGCTAGCGCGCCTGGCCTCGCCTGCCTTTTAAAATACAGAACATGAATATCAACATCATTTTAAGTTATTCTTAACTTAGAGACTTAATATTACTAACATTAATTATCATACTGTGTCACAATACATTTAGAACATTTTAGGGAACTCTGAGGTAAGACAGTAAACCATTTGCCCTGATTCTAAATAGCCTGTTTTAGTTTTTTATAGTCTTCCTTTCTCCATCCTTCTTTTCAGATGCCCTTCTTATCAGAAGGTCTTCCTCTACCAACCCTCTCTGTGCTATATTTGATCTGCTAGTAATAAAGCTTGATAAATAAGTAACCTGTCTATCTCATCAGGTTCTACACAAGGTTGAAGTTGATTCTACACCTCTCCTACTTTAAAAAGTACAAGTGCAAGTTATTTCCCCTTCTGATTGGTGGCTTTCAAGTTTATCTCTGGATTCATAACTATATTCCTTATAGGTAAAGCTATCGTGAGTTTCATCACCAGATAAGTGAGACATAAAACCAGGTATCATTACTACGATCATCTAGTAATATAGGATATTATTACTATGTTCAGATATCTTAAATGAGCAATGAGGTAATATGTTAACCTCATACCCACAGTTCTACACAATTTTATGATAGATACCTAGAATTTTTTAAATGGATATAGTTTATATCCATTGTAATATTGTTATAGGACTGTTATAGGAAGAGAGTTCAAAGTTGGCATCAAGGGCCAAAGGTAGAAATTAGCTTACATAGAAAATAATTTGTATAGGCTAAAAAGGCCCTTTGTGCACAATACCTCCTATAGTAATTTAGTCCACAAAATATTGACTGTAAGACCAAAACCAAAATGAAATGCTATGAAAAAGTGAGAGAGAGCTTTGTTTATGCAATAAAACTATGCAATAAAACTATGAATGGATGGGCATAGCGCATCTCCTGTTGCACGCACCCTGTTGCTCATCAAGTGACATGGATCCGAGCTGTTTGTTAACCACAGAAGAAGGAGAATCTGAAACAAAAATGAGATTTCAACTTAAAAGTAAGCAGCAGAAAACTGCACAGCAATGTCATGATCATCTCTAAGCTTAAGAAACAAATGTATAAGGGTGGGGAATAGAAGTAAGTACTGTGGTATGTTTCCCAAGCAGTGAGTAAGCAGCGCCATGTGCTTAAGATATGTTATTCCAGGCAAGCATTTAGCAACTTTGAGAAGGAGTTGAGAAAATATTCTTCCATTTCCATGCATATTCCTTTTAACAAATTCATTTAGCACAGGCACAAGGTGCAAAGTAGGTAAATTAGAAATGGGATATCTCTTTCACTAAATAGAAGACTCCTTGCCCTTCTCAAACTCCCTCTCTAGCTCCTTAAGATGGATTTCATCCTGCCTGGGAAGATTCAAAGCATGAAATGAGATGCTCACTACACTTTGTGAGATGTCGTTTGTTGTATCATGAGCTAAGCAAGGAGCTAAAGTAAACAGTTTACAAGAAAAATATTCAGTGATGTAATTACCATTACAGAAACATATATAACTTTAAAAACTCTATATTATGTATATTAAAACTATACCCTATGAAGGCTTAGGCTTCTTTAGAGGTACCTGGTAGGCAAAGGAAAAGACAGATAAGGGGAAGGCTTAATGGTGTGGGCTTTATACTTTCCATTTGGCTTCAAATGGAACAGCTTTGTTCTTATCTTTTTGGTATACTTGGTTTCTATGTAAGAATTTATTTTATAAATGGTTTCTACTGTTGAAAAACACTGGTATAAAGGAAGCCAACATAATAAAATGCAAAGAGTATTTGTCTAAAGTTACTAAGTTTTGGTTTTAAATCTGCTTCTACAATAATTAGCAACATTTCTAGACCTAAGCTTCTCCTTTCTCCCTGATCAGCCTAGGGATCTAGTAACCTAAGCAAGACACTGGGGAATAGAAAAAGGTGGCCCTTTTCCATTCCTGGCTTGGGATCTGGTATCCCAGTTGGGCTAGAGTAAAAGAGAAAATGTGAGTAATAAGCACAGCTCTCACCTAAATAAGAATAATTCCCAGTTTCTAATATCCTATGCTCTAGTTCTTAGCAAAGGTTGTTAATAAAACCCTTTTTGGCTGATACCAGTTTTTGCTCATAATGGCATTTCATTTCCCAAAAAGTGAGTATTTTAAGTGAATATTGTCCTTAATTGTATAACTAAGAGAAGTTTTCCAATATAACCTGGATTCAAACCAATTTTACATAATTTGATTGCTTCCATTTGTACATTTAAAAGTCTGAATCATGCTACCATTTCTATCAGCTTTAAATCTCTCATCTTCTAACATCACCATTTAGCTCACAGATTTTTATCTTATTACATTTTGATAAAGCATGATCAATATTTGAATAATAGCTTTTATTTATTCTTACTTATCACCTCTTCATCAGAACATTCAGTTAAATCTCTACTAAACAAAAAAGAAAGTGGGAATGATAGTATTTCAGTAAGTTTCCTATCTATTCATGCTTTGCTTTATTTTTTAAGACTGTTTTTCATTTATCCATTTCACAGTTAGATTCAGTATGTTTTTGAAGAACAGATAAGTTGGTCTTCAGAAATAAAATTATACTCTTTAAAGAAAAACGTAACAAAAATGTGACTCATAATGAAATAAACATTGGAAAACCTCCTAAAAAGTCTCCTATGAAATATTTTTCATCCCTTTGGATTTGTTACATATTTCATTATGCTCTCAATAATTAACATCCCTAAGAAAACCATAAAATCTCCAAGAAATCCTCTCTTCAAATATTTAATTTTTCTAAAAATATCATGGAATGTACAACTCTTATTGAAATAAAGTACTTTGTATTTAATATTCAAATAAAATTTTAGATGTCACTGAAAAATAAAAACATTGATGAAGGATCGAGAATGCTGTCATCTCCACAGAACTGTGTATTTTCAAACTCTTCAAGTATTTAACATTAAAGCTTATGCTAAGATGGAAAGATAGTATTAAACTAAAAGGGTTTTTGGGTTTTACAGTCTGTCATAGATATTGCGTATTTCAGGGGAATTATTTGGTGTTCCTTCCATCTTGAAGATGAATCATATGAAGAAATCCTTCTTGGTCACTGCTTCCATTCTATTAATAATCTTGGGACCATGCAACTGTTTTTGGATAGATTATCTTCCCGTCACAAACATTTTAAGTGACTTTTTTTTTTTTACCACAAGGTATTCATAAATATAATACTTATAACTCCTATCACACATAAATAGTTCCAAATATTAACACAATAACCATCACAATAGCTAATATAAAAAATACGACTGTTAGTTCAAGCTGATTGCTTCAGTTTCTGCATACTCTACTCCATCTCTCCATGAAACATCTTCTAGAGAGCACCATCACACAAAATCAAAACCTGAATATATGGTCCAATGATAATTTATTATGAAATCAATATGGTTGGTCAGCTTATTTGAAGTGTTCAGAATTATAGTATTATTTTTAAAGTAATGATAAATTTTAAGCAAAAGCTTATTCAGTACTAAACTCAGCATGTCTTATGGTTGGTTACCATATATTTCTGAAAAATCTGTGTTTTGGTCTTAAGAAAATTCTTCAGCCCTTTGACATCAGAATTTTCTCAACTGTAGAAAAAGATAGATAATTATAGATGAATAGGTAAATAAGACTCTTCAGCCAGATTTCTTGGGTTCAAATGTGGTTTATCTACGCAGTAATATTGCAACCCTGGGCAAATTATTTAACTTGTCTAAGTCTCAGATTCTCTATCTGAAAAATGGGGATAATCATAATATCTACCACATAGCATTCTTCTGAAGATTTAATGAGATAATCCATGTAAACTACTTAAACAGCACATAGGAAAGGGCCA